CTCTTGATCTGCGCGATGGGTTCTATCAGATCCTCATGCGTGAGAGCGATATCCCTCTCACGGCTGTGAGCATGCCGAGCGGCATGCTCTGGGAGTGGCTAGTGATGCCGCAGGGGCCGAAGAACGCCCCTCCGACCTTCAACAGGTGCGTGACGCACTTGTTGCGCTCGGTGCGCGACTTCGCACCGAGCTACTTCGACGATGTGTTCGTCCACAGCCGGGCTGCGGACGGGATGAGTGATGTTGAGATGCACAAGGTGCATCTCCGGAAGCTGCTTGCGCTCATGCGCAAGCAGAAGCTCTACGCGAACCTGAAGAAGTGCATCTTCGAGGCGAGTGAGATACCCGTGCTCGGGTGTCTCGTTGGGAAGAACGGTGTCCGCCCTGACCCTGAGGAGGTCAGAGTGAACAATGAGTGGCCAACGCCGTCGAACGTCAAGGAACTGCGGCAGTTCCTTGGCTTAGCCACGTACTTGTGCAAGTACGTGAAGGACTACGCGGGCATGATACGCCCGCTGTCACAGCTCCTGAAGAAGGACGCCGAGTGGGTTTGGACTGCTGAGTGTCAGCAGGCCTTCGATGCAGTCAAGCAGGGCTTGACTGAGGCGCCGATCTTGGCGGTGGCCGACCAAGATCGCCCGTTCCACGTTGTGTGCGACGCATCCGACTTCGCAATCGGATGTGCGTTGATGCAGCACGATCACGAGGGTCGTGATCGTGTGGTCTACTACCAATCGCGTCAGCTGAAGCCAGCTGAGCGGAACTACCCGGTGCATGACAAGGAACTCCTTGCCATGAAGTACGCACTCGCGAAGTTCCGAGTGTATCTACTCGGAAGCAAACCGTTCGTGGTCTATACGGACCACGCGTCACTGCGGACGGCTGTGAAGTCGCCGCACATCTCGCAACGGATGGCGAGATGGCTCTCATTCTTCGCGGAGTATAACTTCCGGGTTGAGTACAAACCCGGAAGACTCAATGTGGTGGCCGACGCGCTCTCGCGTCGACCTGACTACGTCACGACTGATGCCGACGTCAATGCCATTGACGCCATGCGATCGAGCACCCCAACGTCGTCACTGTTGGACGACGTGAAGGTCGCGTACGCGCACGACGCGGACGCGAAGCTCTTGCTGGCCTACAGCTCAGCGCCTTCTGACAAAGCTCGTCAGAAGCTGCCGAAGCATCTTCGTGCTCGTGCACACCGTTATCGGGTGCACGACGGGTTACTACTCTACAGTGCGGTCGACGACAACGCGGACCGCGTTGTCGTGCCCAATGACCATGACCTGCGACTCAGGATCATGTACGAGAATCACGATGCACCGACTGCGGGGCATCCGGGCCGTGAGAAGACATACCTTCTTCTCACGCGACACTTCTACTGGGCCCACCAATATATATGGGTGCGCAAGTACGTCCGTGCTTGCGAGGTTTGTCAACGTGTGAAGCCTGCGCCTTTCGCGCAGGCTCCCTTGCAGTCACTGCCGACTCCGTCGGAGTGTTGGCAGTCCATGTCTTTAGACTTCGTGTTCGGTCTTCCCCCGGACAGCCAGGAGAACACGGGCATTGTGGTCTTTGTTGACCGCTTCAGCAAGATGTACCATCTTGCTGCGGTACCCGCTGAAGTGACTGCGAAGCAGACGGCGCGTCTGTTCGTTGACATGGTGTTCAAACACCATGGCATGCCGATCGACATAGTGTCGGATCGAGACCCGCGCTTCACTGCGCATCTCTGGCAAGAAGTGTTTACACTTCTTGGGAGGCAACTTTCGATGTCGACTGCAGACCATCCGCAGACGGACGGGCAGACCGAACGCGTGAACCGCGTGCTCGTTGACGTGCTTAAGAGCTACGCTCACTCGTTCCAACACTGGAGCGAGTGTCTGCCGATGGCGGAGTAATCCATCAACAACTCGGTGCATGCCTCGACCGGGCATACGCCGTTGTACGTGAATGCCATGAGGCACCCACGCCTCCCGAGTCTACTCGGGATGGTGGCTCCTTCCTTAAGTGGGGGAGGATCTCCGACTGCAACGCAGCAGCCGAAGACTGCCGCTGACACTTGCACAGTGTCAGCCGCAACGACACGAAGTAAAGCCGAGAACCGCGCGTCTGTGCAGGGCACAGACACCACGAAGACGAACGCAGAGGCCGAACCTACTGCTGGAAACGGGCTGAACGAGTTCAGCTCGGACGCAATCAACTTCTTGCAGCGCAGACAAGCCGTCATTCGGTTTGTCCAAGACGCTATTGCAGTTTCTGTTGATCGACAGAAGCTGAACGCAGACAACGTTGGCAGGGGCAACACAAATAAATTCAAGAAGGTTCATTGGTTTTGTTAGCTACTCAAAACCTGCCTAAACATCCAGTTTCCGACTTCGGGGTGAGCAAGCTCGCTCCGCGCTTCATCGGGCCGTCCACTGTGCTGGCACGGCACGGCAACGCCTACACACTGGACATACCGTCTAGTATGCGCCTCCATCCGACGTTCTACGTCGGACGGCTGAAGCCATACCTGCAGTACGAGCTACCTAGCTCGACTGAACCGAAGCAGAAGACTCGGCGGAAGCCGTCATCCTCACCAGCGCGAAGTCGCGCTGGAGCAGCGGGTCGAGCTAATGGTCCAGCTCGGCCGGAACGATCGAGGCGGCCTGGAAGGCCGCCGCAACCTGAGGATACTTCAGAGCGCCCAGCGCTCTGGAACTACTCCACGACCGGAACTCGGTCGTGGGGAGACGCGAGATCAGGGTCGACACCAAGTTGACCACACACGGGGCGTGTCTCCACCACCACCGTCGCCAATTCGTGACGCACACGGCTCAACTCGATGGATAGTTGAGCGGATTGTTGGTCACAGTATCCCGAGAACGAACAGGCAACCGGTTCGTGTTCGTATCCGTTGGAGAGGATTCCCTCCCAACCAAGATACATGGGAGCCGCGGAACGTCTTGCTCGAAGACGTCCCGGACATGGTGAGGGCGTACGAAGCCCACCATGCGCTACACGCTGGAAAGTAATACGAGCGCTGTTGTTAACAACAGCGCCCGTAGGCACTTCAAGGGCAGGCTGTGGGTCCTGCCCCCGCGGCAGCGACGCGCTTCGCACGTTGCCGCACATGCTACTCAGCAGCAGAGAGGTTCTCCGCTGCTGCGCCAGCCGTCTTCAACTTCGACGCGCTCGTTCCATTACGAGCGCGCTCTCTTCAACGTCACGCATTGACCAAGCGGTCAATGGTGGTTGACGTGCCGGGACCGGCACGTCTAACTTTGACGGGGGATGGTGTAACGGGGTTACACGCACAAGTGGCTACAGTCACTTGTTACTCTAACAGATGCGATGTCTGTTAGATGTTTGAACACTTCCTCGACCTTGGTGTAAGGTACACCAATGACTACATACATTTACGACCACCACGACGGGTGGTCCATACACATTTAGGATTCCTACTGGCTGAAAGCAGCATCTTTTAGCCAATGAGTGACTTGCATGTTAGCAGAATCCTGCCAACGAGCCGTTGGCAGATTCCTAGTTTAGAATATTACATTTAGAGGAAGTCAGAAGATAAAACAAAAATAGCAGTTCTCATCTTTTACCAAAACCCGCTACTTGGAGTCTTTATCTTGTTTAAGGTATACTCGTGGATCTCGAGTATACTTAACTCAAGTAAAAGAAACCTACGCTTCCTCATACACGTGCGCATACGTGTAAGCCGTAGTAGTGAGCCAAGGTAGGCCCATTAGAGTCTGTTCGCTACGTAGCTGGAGATGGAGACGGAAACCAAAAGTGTGACCGGATTGGTCAAAAGTAGGTAGCACACAACAAGACAACTAGAGATGGCACTGTGAATTCGTCTGCAGCTCTTTGAGGTGGAGAGGGGCGGATCTACCTAGAGATTTACAGGGCCAGGCACAACATGGGAGACGAAGATGCAATGTCCTCGCTGCGTGCTCCGCCGTGGCACAGGCTGTGGCTTTGTATGCAGACAGTTGCGAACCAGGACCTCCTGCTGGCAAGAAGAACCGTTTTACCGTCACCACTCTGCGCTTCGAGTCGATGCTTCAATCATCAGCCTATTCAAGCTGGTTCGAGACCAATCTGCGCTGTACGAGATCAACCTTCTTCCGTACAGCTAGCTTTCTACAAGATCATGGGGTCGCTTTTGCACAAGCTAAGGTCAAGAAGCATTCCTACGAAAAGAAGGTGGCAGCGGCGTTGTATTTCCTGGGCTCAGCGGGTGGATATCGTGAGGTGGGAGCTGCAATGGGCATGGCTAGAAGCTACGTCATGGAGATCACTACGGAGGTAGACGTTAGAAGCTCCTTTCAGGCGAGACTTGCCTCGGCCCTGTGCTGCTTGCGGTGCGGCCGAGGCTTGCAGACGCTCGAGCATGCGAGATGGGGCGGGAGCAGGCTCTGGCGTAGCAGACATCGCCACTGATACTTGAGCTAGCGGAACAAATGTGGACGCAGTCTCGGCGCCTTCTAGCAGCAGACCTTCATCACCGGCAGATGGTGTCAGCGAGACGAGGGGCTCGGACGCTGGCGTTTCGTCATGACGTGCGGGGGGCGCAAGAACCGAAGAGCCTTGAGCAGCGGCATGTTCCGCACGCGTGGCCGCACTGGTGACATTTTCTCAAGTGGGGAGGAGAGCCATCCCATATCTGTCCTGTGATTGGCTTAAAATTTGTCTGGAGATGGATACATAGCGAACGAGCTGTGCACCATCTCCATCTCTAGTACAACGCGAACAGGCTCTTACAGCATGCGCTCTCTCAGCTTTCCGCACTCAGCTTGTGCGCATTCTGCGCTCGGATGAGTTCTGCAGACGACGCCGATGCCGTCGCGGCCTCCCGCCCGCTCATGACGGACGCACGCATAGAGCTACAGCCAAGGCGCACATCCACAATAGGAGCGACCACCAGCCACCAAACGCATGGGACCCCAGAAGCAGCAAGTCCACAGCGCCAGATGCAGGAACCTCATTGGGCACTTACGGTGATGGCCGTCGCAAGCAGCTGGGGCCATCACGAGCACTCCGTGCGGTTGGACGGTCGAGGCCCTAATTATGACTATGATGGAGGCATGGGCAACACCTTCACCGCTGGCGGTGATGTTTCCGCTGTCGCTGGAGCTGGCTACGATTCCAGAGGTAATCTTCGCAACGGATTAGTTGCTTTGCTCTTAAGTGGTGATAGTGGTGGCGGTGATAGAGTCCGTGGTGGCGGTGATGGAGTCCGTGGTGACGGCGATGGAGTCCGTGGTGACGTACGTGATGTGCAGGGCTTTACCAGTGGCGACGTCGAGCAAAGCTGGCGCCAGCTCAGTGAGGATGCTCGGAACCCCGACGATGCCGAGCATGAAGTGCTTGTCGACCAAGGATACGGCGAGCAGGGTGATGACGAACATGATGAAGCCGAACAAGGTGACGAAGGACACGCTGACGATCACTCAACGACAGATGGGGGGGGGGGGTCACTAGAGGTGGAGGAACAGATAGTTGAAGCAGCAGAGAAAATATTGCGCCAGACGCCGAGGAACAGCATCGATACTTGGGTGCTGTATAGAAGGCTACTCCGTTATCGACACCTAAAAATGCTTTCGCGTGCTGTAGCGTGTGCGCTAGCAATGCAGATGCGAGATCACGAAAAAGAGACACTTCGGGAGCAAGTTCCAGACATCCGATTTAATATCAATCGTTGTCGGAGAAGGACTGTATCAACCGCTTTCGGTTCCGCAAGGTGCACTTAGCCTATTTGCTGATGCAATTCCGACTGCAACCATTTTTCTCGACTGAAGAAGGATATCGAGTATCTGGCATCGAGGGGTATCCGGCCCGCTGGAGGGAGCAAGTGACCAAGTTTGGGCGATCGGAGAGTAATCTCAGTTCCATTTTCTACTATGTATGTGATCGAATATCTTCGCGCTGCGCCCCGCTACTGAAAGGAGATTGGGATCGGGTTAGTGCGCGACTGGAAGACTTCGCATCAGCTATCTACGCAAAAGGATCGGCGCTGAAGAATCTGTGGGGTTTTATTTTTATAGACGGAACGGTGAGGAAAATATGCCGTCCAGGAGATAGCATCGAGCAGCGAGCGATGTACAACGGTCACAAGCGTTCTCATGCAGTGAAATATCAGGCCGTGACGACACCGGATGGAATTATCGTGCACATGTTTGGCCCTGCTCAAGCACGTGCGCACGACCTTACGTTGCTGGAGGATTCAGACCTGGAGAATATAATCGACCGCGATCAGCGATATCACAGCTACCTGCTCTACGGCGACCCTGCCTACGGCCAGACGGACGTATTTGCATCTCCTTTTGACAAGGTGGGAGCAACAAGAGAAGAGATTGAAGTCAACCGGTCGCTTAGCAAAGTGAGGATCTTGGTCGAGTGGATGTTCGGCAAAATAATTGGTGAATGGGCTATGCTGGACTTCAAGCGCAAAATGAGCATTGGGAACGTTCCCGTTGGTATGCTTTACGAGGTCGCCGCCATTTTCGCTAACTGCGTGACGATCGTACGGCACCAGAATATCATTAGCAGCTACTTTGATGTTCGCCCGCCTTCATTTGAGGAGTATTTTGCTGGACTGGATTAGGCAACAATAATTAGTTGGAAACCAAAGCAATATTTTATTGATGCCTCTCGTACGCTGGCTTACTCGTTAGCAAAAAAATAACTTAGCTCGTCGCTGAAACTAAAAAGAATGAGAGATGGTATCGATGTGACCACGCTAAGCAGCGCTACTGCGGTTGGCGCTTCCGCCGCCGAAATGCTGGAGAAGCAAGTGCGTCGTGTTAGCCAGCGTCTCAACGGCTTTCGTCAGCGCGTTATCTCGAGCAGCTTGGGCCGCTCGATCTTTGGCCATCATCGCTTCTTCCCGCGCCCATATTTCGCTCACTCGAAGGCGCGTCCTGCCGACCTTGTGGCCGGATTCATTCTCCTCCTCGTCGTTGTCTTCTTCCGTCTGGTCGCTCTCTTCGTTATCTCCTTGCTTCGTTTCTTCATCACTGCTGTATTCACTCCCCAACAAACGTCGCAGGCCTGTGCGTTCATCGCTGGCAGCACTCTCAGCTTCGCTTGCGTCGTGTTGGACAGCATGCTCTTCATCATCTGGAGCTTCCGGCGCAGTTGAACGCTCCTGACCGAGGGCTTTCGCCTTGCGTCGCTTCTACCTGTACGTCAATTATTGAATCGTTAATTAAAAGCTGTTCTAGCTGCAAAAAACTTACCTCTGCGCTGCATTACGCATCGCTTTCTGCGAGAGCACAAGAGAGCAACAGCGGCCAGTCGTCGTGCCAGCGGCGTTGTTGAGCAGCATACAGGCTTGAGCGACCTCCTCGAAGGGTATCTACAGCTCAAGACCCGCTTCGATGAAACTCAACAAGCTGAGAAGGACAAGAAGAAGCGCAAGTTGAAGCGTTTGTCGGCCCAGCGCTGAGAGCTTGTCGCGGCATGCCCTGAGCGAGAAGGAAGCCGTCACGGCTTCGTTGAGCTGGTCTGCTACGGCTTGCCACCCCTCTTCGCCCTTGCCATGCGGCGTCTTGTAGGTCTTACGGCGCGTGACGATCTGGACCAGCTTGATCAGATCCCGCTCGTGGAACCGCGAGCGCTTGTTTGGGTCGACGACACGGAACTGGACGTCATCGCGCTGCTCGCGCACAAGCTCATCAAGAGCCTCTATCCCCGGCATGTCGTCGCTGGCAGCAAGTTTCCTTTTGAGGAGAAGGTTTCCTCTGTCCGAGATTGATATTCGTACCTAATTGAATATACATGAGCAAAAGGTGTCGCTGACAATTTTACAATTTACGAGTCCCAGGAGTGGCAGCAAAAGATGTAAAATACGTGGGCAAAAGGTGTCTATTCAGCATCGAATCCATACATAACGATATCGATATACAAATAGATTATTGGTTCAATTCCAATGTAAGTAAACGGCCAATCTAGGGTCGTTTGGTTAATTCGGTGCCGTGGTGGGGTTGACCAGTGAGGACGCATTTTGTATCTTTCCGTCTTGTTATTCGTAGAAATAACATTAAGTACGAAACTCATACTAACTACTACAACTGGAACTGGTTGGCGGGGAAATCTAGGCGGGAACTCGATGGGCCGGCGTCAGTAAACGAGCCATCTACTTCCCACTCTTCATTTTGAAAGTAATACAGCACAATGGTCAATACCTACACGCAGGAGATGAAGCAAGAGATAATCGGTCAAGTCCAAGCAGGCATCGCTGTTGCCACAGTCGCAACGGCGACCGGCGTCCACGAAAGGACGATTCGGAAGTGGCTGGCGGCAGCAAATGAAAGCAAGTCGAGTGCCTCCGCGAGGCCCGGGCCGAAGCCGTTCTTCCCCCCAGTTGCTGAGCTAGTCGATACACATTCGGATGTCCACGCCATTCTTCTTGAGGACGATCACAATCGGGGAAGCCCACGGCGACAGCGACATCTCGATCAGACCCGTTTCCAGCAGCTTCTTCAGGAGCTCGTACACCTTCATCATCAAGTGAGGGGCAATGGACCTTGGTCGTTGAGCAAAGGGTTTGGCGTCACCCACATCCAGGCCACACACCACGCCCCTGGCCGGGGCCGGCGCAGCATTGTCATCCCCAAGGAAGATCTTGCGGTGATACTTGAGTATAGAGCGCAACTTCTGTTCCCCATCCGGGGTAGTCCGCCCGGGCTCTCCAACATCAGCTTTGTCGATATTACATTCGGGCTCAGGTCCTTCAGCTCAGGAAGCAAGGCCAATTCGTCACGCAACTGGGACAACAACTCGCTCCCCTCGTGCAGATACACTCCAGCTTCCAGGTCAAGCTCCTCCTGATTAATTCGCATGCATCGATTGTACTCTTCCTCCAGCTTCCGCAGCGGGGTACTGGGCATCGACGCAGTGGATATGTCAGGCTCTTCCCGGTCGGAGATGTCTTCCGAGCGGTCACCATCCAGGTCGGACTCGGCCCAATCAGAGATGATCAGGTTCCACTCATCAGAACTCGAATCGGACTCAGCTGCAGTGCCGACATCGCTGTGAGCGTCCTCGACAGTCGGACGTCGACGGATTCTGCTTCGTTATCACCTCCGTCTGAGACGCCCTCGACGGATCCCGCCCGGGACTCAGCGTTACCCTGCTGGAGCATGACCAGCCGGTCCGTCCGGGATCCCGATTCAGGCCGTAGGAGAATCCTGGTTGGCCATTCACGCTGCGGTCTTTCGACGGCTGGGGGTTGCCGACTCCACTCGAGCTCGATCTGCTCTTGCTCACGTGCCTCTGCTTCCGGAGACACTGTGTTCTCGTAGATCAGCTGCTGCCACTCCTGATACCGCTTGCTTCCCGGCCGGACAAATCTCCCAAACCGGGGAAAGTGCCCGAACTCGACAATCCGGGCCACAGGAGTCCGGTTGTCGATCCAGACTTTCTGCTTGGAGATGTTCACCACCTTCACCGAAGACGCCCACGACTGGGTAGCATACAGGATCTTGGTGACCCAACGATCACCCCGGCCGGCTCACACGACATCCCGTTGGGGGTTGCTCTGGCCGTACCTAACCTTCACGATCCCATGTTCCCCCGGACGGAGATAGATCCCCTCATCCGGGGTTACCGGGAGATCCAAGCCCACTTTGTCGCGGCGCGGACCGTCACACATCACAACCGTTTCTTCGTCCGGGAGCTGCACTAGTCCTTCTCGCACGCTCAACCGCACTCCAGCCGCATACATGAAGTTCATCCCCAGAAGTACTTCCAATCCTTCGCCGATATTCGCCAACCAGACACTCATCACATACACCACGCGGAATCCCAGAGTGATCTTCACCCGGGCGTACGACGTAATGTTCGTGGGAGCACCTCCTAGTCCGGACACCCTGATCGGCTCCGGCAACATCCGGAATTTCAGCTTGAGCCTACGCGCAAGGTCCAAGATAATCATGCTTCCAGATGCACCAGTATCCAAGAGTATCATCGTTCGGAGATCGTTCACCGCCCCATGTACTGTCACCACTTCATGACTCTCTTCAGGCTCGTGATCCTCCCACCAACCGTATCTCTGTCCGGGCTGTAGGATGACTTCGACTTGGTCATCGCCATCCGGGTTTTCCCGTCCAGGATCCGTACAGTTGGGGTCGTCAAACTGGTCCTGAAATATAGCTGACATGCATTGGTGGTTATCTGGTTTTCTCCTTCTCAACCCGGGTCCGACATTAACTAAGACACACAATCCTTTGGGTTTCGCCAGCCCGGCGCGTTCTGGATCCCCATCCAGCGGGCTTATAAGTTTAACGACGACCCCGGATCGGCCTCATCACCCAGCAGTTGCTTGCGCAGGGGTGGAGGCAGGTTTTGCAACATCCCCTTCCGAGCGAGTGTCTTCACGGCTTCCAAGGCGTCGTAATCTCCACAGGTTCCTTCATGAATCTTGCCACAGCGTGAGCACGGCTTCACTCGACACGCGTATCCCGGATGGCCCTTCCGGTTGCTCCGGTCGCAAACGATCTCCGCCCAGCAGTTCTGCTCCTTGTGACCAAACTTGAGGCACTTCTCGCAAAACTCGTTCCGGTCAGGGTTCTCCCGTCGGGGCGACTGCCATCCCGGCCGGGGCGACTGCCGCCCTGGACGGGAATCACTCTGCGTAGGCGGGCGCCACCTACTCTGCTCGATCGCCTTGAAAATGGCTTGACGGAGCTCGGTCTCCGGGATCTGAGCAACGGTTGGGGAACTTGGCGCCACCTCAGCCGGGGTACTCCGGCTGGACTCCTTCGACTCCGCTTGGGACTGCTTGGTTTCTTCAACTTCATTCTCGATGCGTACACGACCTTCAGATTCGTAGCCGGACTCCCCATCCGAAGTTGCCACAAACGCGCGGCGCCTCGGCTTGAAACGGGAATCCTGGATGTTGCCTGCTCGGAAGTTCCGCCTGGGCGATGGCGTATCATATCCCCCATCCAGGTTCAGGTCCTCCTGTTGCTCCAGGATGTCTTCGAGGTCCTCCAGGCTGCGGATCTTCTGGTTAGCCAGGATGGCCTTCAGCTGGGAGTCCCGGAAATTCTTCAGGAAACGCTTGACATGTTGCTTGCGTTCCTTCTTGGACTTCCGGTACTTGATCCCCGCCTTGACTGCAGCCTCGTTTAGCCTGTAAAAGAACTCCATCGGGGTCTCAGACGTCTTCTGCCGCATGGTGTCATACCGTTACGGGTGCTACGGTCGGCAGCCGACAGGAGGGAGACATGGAGGCCTTTCCGAGGGGTTCCGCCGGTATGGTTCGTGTCGGTGGCTGTGTCAGGACGTAACGAGAGCAGCGCAACCCGGAGTTGCCGCCTCCGAGCCCGTCTTGCTATCGCCAGGGCCGGAAACTTCACCGTCGTTTTGGTCCCCGGACGGGAGGTCCCCGTCGGGGCAACCTGGGTCGCCGTAGTAGATCGGTGCGCCGCATTAACTGCGGCCGGCTCATTCTTCACCACAGTCGGCCTCAGAGTCCTTGCTAGACGCGCGACGTCGACTTCCGGCAGTGTCGCCAGTAGCTGTTCCCAGCCGGCTTCGGTCGTGTTCTTCTGTTCCGGCTGTGCACCTGCGACCGTTGCGTTTCCCGTGATTACGCCCGTTGCCCTTTCAGGGTTGTAACTTCCCGTTTGTATGGGAGTTGCCCGATTAGGGTCGGATGTTCCCCGTTCAGGTTGAGCTTGGGCAGATGTTGCTTGAAGGTCGCATATCTGTCCCACATGGAAACGCTGGATATTCTGAGCAGACATACGTTCTCGCGCACGCGCGACTTCCGACGCCTGCAGCCTGGCTGCCAACGGGACCAGGTCCTGCTGGGCCTGCCCGGCCCGGGCGGCCATCTCGGCGGCGTGCTTCGCTTCGGCCTCAGCTAGCTGTTGGCGGATGTACTCCGTGGCAGCTGCCTCCACACGCTCACGCTCGGCTCGCGCAGCTTCAAGACGAGCAGCTTCGACGTTGGCTTCGGCCGTCAGAAACTGCGAGGCGGCCTGGGACGCCTGGGTGTAGACCTCATGCAGGTGTCGCTCAAGCTCCTGGGCCCGGCGCTCGGCTTCGCGCGCCTCCCGTTTGGCTTCGACCAGAGCAAGCTTGGCTTTGGCATCCTGGCTGGGATCCTTCCCGGTCGACACAGCTTCCGAGCCACTCGTCAGCGAGTCACGCCTTGAGCGTCAGTGCGTCCGGGACCTCGTCGACGTCCGCGTCCTGGATGTCGGCCGGCTGGCCTCCTCGTCCAAGCGTGCCATGTTGACATTCAGCCTGGTCGGGGGTCGGCTCACGTTTGGGGACTACTTCGCGCGTCACGTAGAAGCCCACGTCTCCAGCGCCAACCGACACACCAACCGGACCCCGGGTGGACATCGCCAAGGATCCCAACTGGGGCATCGGCATGTGCGACGCAGCGCTGTACCCGAGCGTCGAGGTCGACGAGTCCGAGGTGGTGTTCCTGGACACGTACGACTCGGACGTCGCGCCGTAGGAAGCCCGGTCGGAGGTGCCAACTATGCTCGAGACAGGGTCCGAGGTTGCACCTCTGGCCGGGGCATCCCGGGCGGATTCTTCAGCCGACGGAAACTCGGACGGCAGCGACTCGAACTGGGACGGCGGGGACGCAAGCGAGCTCTCGGCCCTTGGCGGCGCATGCTGCGGACGCTTGGGCGCAGGCTCACCGGTGGACAACCCGCTCGGACTCCGGATGGGACGAAGACCAGTCAGACGCAGGTCCGGCCCAGCAAGAGTTCGTAGTCTTTCATCAATAGATCTCCATCCGCGTCTTCCGCGTGGTAATCCACGATCGGCGGCTTCTCTGTCTTCGTTTGGGCCTCCAACGCTGGCAGGATCTTGAACGTCGCTCCGACGACCAGCTCGCGCCACTCAATGAGCTCGACCGCAAGCAGTCGCTGGACGTCTCCGACCAGGGTCCGGATGGACATCGGCTCCACCTTGGACACTCGCATCTCCACCCAGGCCGGCACCACGTTGACGAACTGGAACCCGGCCTAGAACAGGAGCATCTGCAGGACCGCAACGCACTCCCGCGAGTCCAGCAACCCGGTTGGGATCTGGACTCCGGCCAGGCCCCGCCGCACGACGTGACTGACGCGACACCTCTCCGCGTCCTCGCCCTTCGCGCATGTCTCCTCGCTTAGCTGTCATAGACGCTAGTTAGGAAAGTTAGCGCACCTATATAAACGTACAAAATATAAACAACTCCGGTGAAATCCCTGGTTCGAATCCGGGCACGCGCATCAGCTGAGGCGCGGCGGGTGAACGCCTGACCACCCAGGTGTATAGCTCGGTGCGTCCCGGGTGTAGACCCCGAAAGGGGTGCACCCAGAACAGACCCTAGCCGGAGATAGTACACCTAGATGTACACTCCAACCGGGGTGGCGTGTGTCCTTGTGAACAATCCCTGTGGGTTCGTTTGTCTTCGTAACCAGGGGTCTTCAACCGTGGATGAGTTGTCTTGATACTTGTAGGTCGGTAGGTAGCAGGGCAGAACGTAACCTTCCTGGACGTCGCCTCTGACAGCCTTTAAACAACCAAACAATACAAACAGATACATAGTTATATACAAACACGTAGCCCTTTCATATTCTTTTGGACCGTGAAAGGGTCGGTCACTACTCCAATCATCTCCAGCCGGACTCCGGGATACTGGTCAATCCCGGTCGGCTCATGCGCACCACCCTCAAGTACTGAGGAAACCTACACAATCAGATACCTCCTATCACACAATAGCTCTTAAATCGGTACTTCCCACCCGGGGCTACTCCAACCGGGGTGACAAGTAATCGGTAATATGAAATGCGGGGCCTTCCTGGTCTGGACGAGCTCAACCGCAACTAGGAAATGAAATGGGATGGATCAACCTCGGGTTGTCGCCCGGTACTCACCCCAACTTGGACTGGACTTGGTTGCGGAAGCTCGACCCAGATGTCACAGTTGCTGGGCCCTCACACGAAGACTTAGTCGGTCCTCCGGGAATGCATGTCCGGTAGGCTGCTCCAACTCACCTGCGCGATCCTTAGCAAAACGAACTCTGTTTATCTGTTATATGTGGTCTCTCTCTCTGTCTGGCTATCTTCTGTCGATCTTTACATGCAATCCATCTTGACTTGTCTTCGCTATGGTCTTGTCGCCGTAATCGTCCGCGGTCCCTCGTAGCATACTTCCAGTAAGTACAATCATCACTGGGTACGCATGCGAAGTTCAATGTTCCACGGAATCCGAACAGATCTTGGCTGGTCGGTTTGGTCAGTCGGAAACATCTTGTACTTTGTATACTGGATCTTTGCATCTGGGATGGTATCTTGGTATCTCCTTCCGGGATTCACGGCTATCTCCAACCGGGATCATACTCCACTTGGGCTTCACATCCGGGGTGTCTTGGACAGCTTCACGGTTTCTGGGTCTTTACTCGATCCGGTCGGGCTCCCCTTGCGTTGTACAGTGCACCAAGAGCAGGCGGCCTCCAGTCGGAGGCACTTCTACGCCTCCTTGGGCTTTGCCTCTCGTTCGTACTTGGTTCCAGCCGGGGTCCACTCTTGGGGACATCTCCATCCGGGGTCACCAAACCTTGTACACTGCCAACGCGAGTCCAGCCGGGATCCGCTTTTCCCATACGCCACGTGTCGCTGCCTCCCTTTCCCATAGTGAGCCTCCAAGCCAACCAATCACAGGCGCGGCTCAGGGAATCCTCGAAAATCTCCAATCCCATCGTGTCAGAGGTCGGTATTTTTGCAGAACATATTCCACGATTTTGCAGGGCATGTTTTATGGTGCAGGGCCAATTTCCTAGCTGCATTAAATCGTCTCTGGCAGACGCGAAAGCTTTTTTTCACCCACCAATACACCACGAGTGGCAGGCACATCGCCACAGCTAGTGCTACCACAACAACTTTTCGAGAATGTCAAGCAAGCGGTCGACAATCCCACTCGCCAAAAAACAAGAGGTCATCAAGTGGATTGAATGTGAAGGCGAGGGTGTCCCCACCAGAGCGGTCCGTCACTTCGGCAGACTGAGCTGGTCCCTCGATCTCGGCACGGTTCGGCAATGGTGGAGGCAGCGTGAGGTCGTCATGTCTGCGTCTCCTCACCGAATTCGACTCGAGGGCGGAGGAAGGCGCCGCATCTTTGCGCGAAAAATCAAGAAGGAGATGGTCACGAGAGCCTGGATTGCAGCCCAGGCGCTGTATCTGTATGGGGAAAACGTCGAAGAACCTATTCGTACTTTCAATGCTTCGCATCAGTGGGTTTCCTGCTTCATGCGCCGCATCGACTTGTCGCTCCACCGCCGAACCGACCTTACCACTCTGTCAGACGACCTGCTTGTTGAGCGCGCTGTTTCGTACATGCGCTTTCTGGTTGAGAGCAAGGCCAATTTCAACCCCGACCACACCGTTCTCATGGATGAGACGGTAGTGTACTTTGAAGACGCAAGGAAGCAGACCATTCAGGTTCGTGGAGCGCGCCATGTCGTCGCGAAGTCAACTGGGTTTGCCTCCATGCGCGTTACGGCGGCTATGGCAGTCACGACATCTGGTGTGGAGCTACCGCCCCTTGGTATCTGGAAGCACAAAAAGGGAAGCCGTCCAGTCACGAAACAAGGCGCAGTGTACGTGGGTTATCAACCCAAAGCCTGGGTAGATTCGGACCTGTTGTGCAACTGGATTGATGTCGTTTTTACGCCGGTGTTGCAGGCCGACGGGAAAGCAATCATCTGGGACTCGATGCGGGCGCACCTCTCCAAGAAGGCCAAGGCAAAGTGTGCGAGCCGCGGCATTTCGCTGTGCGTCATCCCCGGTGGCTCGCACCTTACCTACTAGCCGGCGACATCGGCATCTTCAAGCGCTTCAAGGACTTGCTGTGCTCTACAATTGACGAGTGAAAGAACTCCGACCAAGTTGAGTACACGAGAGGCAGGAACACCAGGCCTCCTAGAGGACATTTGGTCTCCAAGTGGGTCGCCGATGCGTGGAAGGAGACACCACAGTTCGTTGTCAACAACTCCATCGACGCCACTGGGTTTCATAAGGACCCAAGCGAGTAGTTCATCCGGAAGCATGCCGATTACGGCCGGAAGTTCCTGCAGCAGTGGACCGCGCAGCAAACAAGCGGCTCAGCGTTGGATGAAGATACCGGCTTGAATGAGGAGCTCAGCAACGCACTTGACGACATCGATGCCGTTGATGAGTAGGACGAAGGTGCATATCGTTTATAACGTGACGTAATACACAGCATGCTTTGATGTCGAATATCCGCGGTAGTGTTAAACACTGTTTTCAATGCACGATGTCCAAAGTATTATAGCGTGATCAATATTGCGAAATAGCCAATCTAATCCAGTGTAATTGTAGCGGCGGATCGTGGCTGCATTTGTTATGGAGTGATTTTGAATAAATACTCTTTGCCGAGGCGCAGTTATTTCCTCCCAAATTCGATTGATTTTTGTGGATAAACTAAATAGTGACCCGGGTACTATTCGGTGAAATCCGTAACGTGTTTTTTAGTAGCTCAATTTTGCGTTCGCCTCTTCAACGATACAATCTGGCGCCGACATCGATGTCTGGCGTCGCCGGAGGCCAAGTGCCGTCAGACTTTGATCCGTTCCCCAATTTGTTTCACTTGCTCTTCAGCTTCCTTGGAGTAGCCGCGGTGCAATGGACTCCATGCCGACGAATAAGCTGCTTCGACTGGTCCCAGCGCCGCCACTGCCTGTGGTCCAGCAACTTCCCCCATCTGGTGCAGCACTGGGCGCCATCCTCGCGCCATCACCAAACGCGCTGCTCTCTTCACTGGAATCCTACTCGCATCGGCCGTTCTGTCCCCACAATGCTCCCGAGTCCAGTTTTCGCAGCAACGCGCCAACGCTGTCGTCATCACGGCAGGTCCGCAACGCGGCAAGAAGCGGTGAGCCCCGATGTCCAAACATCGGGGCTGTTGGGGGCGGGTATGTTGCTAACCGACGCCTGCAGCTCGTCCAAGAAGAAATGGAACCACTCGTCACGAAGGAGGGGTTACTTCTTCGTCTCGATAAAGACAAATCCAACGACAACTACCACAAGACGCTGGTTCGCGAGCTCGGACGTCTGGAGAACGAAGGTGTCGCCACCTGCGGGAAGCTTCAAATCGTCGTGTTGTGCGATGAGCTCGACGGAGCGACCGAGTTGATTGCCGGTTCGGTTTTATGTGACACTGCCTCACGTCGCAGAACGGATCGTAGCAGCCGAGGAGAGAGGCGTCAAAGTCTACCATGTAGAAGACCAGGCCAGTGCCCAGACATTGCAATGTGCCCGGCATAGAACGTCCTGATCCAGTATGAGTCACGGTTTTCTTCGCTGAGGACAGCAGCCTGGTGTACAACAAAGTGTAAGTTTTTTTTCTTCCTCGTTTTCAAGAGTAAGGATGCGTTGTTTTGGAGACAAACACTGACTGAGATTCTGTTTCATTGGATCTAGGTGTTTGATCGACGGGTGACGTATCATCAATCGCTCTCCGAACCTTAGTTTAACCCTCTCAGCTCTCGCCCAAGGCAGCAAACTTCAAGTCGCTTCCAACCTTGAGAACATTGATGAGAACATTGACCTGGCCTACAACAGGAAAAGGCTCTAAAGCTCACGCTCGAGAACAGTATGATTCGCGTTTTCCAGCAGCGAGACCGGTTGTATCCGACGGATGATGTGGTGCAGAGCACCGACTTGAGGCCTAGCAACGAGGACACCGACACCGATTTGTCGAACCGGGGTCCGGTCAGCGGTCGCGTGCCGATATCGAGACTAGTCGGGGTCCAATTCCAACCAACCGATGTCGAGAAGGCCATTATTATCAACTGGTATACGCCGATGCAACTGGTAGCCGTGCTGCCAGCCTCCACACGGCGAATCTTTTTCAAGAGCTGCACACAAAGCGCTTTGGCGATTGACCACGGCCCACGTCCGTGCGTACCGCGAGACTGAGAGTAACACCATTATTTGTGATTCGGCACAATTAATATGGAACTGGATTTTGATTATATTTTGAGAAAATTCCGATAAGACTCAATGGAGCATTTATGCAAAAGATGAAAGTATCACCGTGATACGGTAAAACTCGGCTTGAATCCGACAGCGACATGTCTGTTGACGGCGATGCAGAAACGGTGAATATATGATGTCTCGAATCAAATCGCTATGATCGGTCGGTTTCATTTCATAAAAGGAGACTCTAGCAAACGTATGACATATGCATACAAACTTCAATCTTAAATATCTCTTAAACTGGCACTCCCTGCAATCTGAGATGGCTTTAAAACTTGATTGATTGCAATTGAAACGTTTTTGATCCGTTGTAGCTCCACAAATAGTCGAACCTCGTCCTCTTTCTGCTGGAACCAAACCCATCTTTGTACGTCAAAATTGGACGCTGGGGTGACAAAAATCGGCAATCCGAAATCTCTCTTCAATTTTTCATTAATCTGTGGCGAGTGAACTTGACCATGTCAAGCTACTTGTGTCCTTTGCTGCAAATCAAGAGCTGAAGTTGATGGTGAGCGCAGCACTCGGGAGTGCATTTCTATGTATGCACACTCTATCGTCTGTACCCACAAAGACGACCATATCCAGAGTTGTGAACCTTGAACAGAAACGAAGTAGAAGCTCACCCAGGCGTCAGTGCTGACAGGCGCCTATAACGGCTGGGTGCAGGCGATGTTGTCAAGTCGATAGGAAGTATCCGCGAATGCTACACGTATCGCTGTTGCGGCCAATGCTACAAACTAGAAACAAATAATAATTACAGTAGCATAGTTCGTTTGTTGTTTATTGACGAAACTCTTAATCCCCAGTACAATAGGATAAATGGACGGTCCAAAAGCTTGACGCTGTCGTAAAATGAAACATGAAAATGAAATTTTGTTAGCATACGCTGAAACTGCTGTACTTACTCTTTCTGTGGACGCATTAGCTTCATATATCAATTGTCGTGCAGGCATAATGGCCATTTGAAAGTGTGTCTAATGGCATATTAGCTTGACAAGTTTGTCCTAGCATGCTAGGGCAAATTTGAAGGTTTGACTTGATCTTGAGTATTGACATTGCTAGTAATATTTCCAGCTCCGATACAAAACCGACACGCCATGTTTTTTTTGTCTGGGTAATACGGTGGTAAGACAAATACCGAGGTTTGTCCTACGGACCGGGAGGTAGGATAAATTGGCTTATGCAAGCGACACCAAGGACCAATTTTGTCCAATTTCCTAGGACAAATTTAATGAGTGTTAAGTCACTAGCTCAATAGAACGCCATCCAACATAGTGATCACTACATCCGTGTCCAGTATCTTTAACGAAGTTCCCACTGGATTCTGCGGGTTCATGTATGCTGCCGACTCCGCATGTGTTGCTTATCTAAATCCAAATTTAAGGCAACGGTGTTAGCGTTAAAACGTCGATTGCAACAGTGACTCAAATTAGTAAAGTGATAGAGGCGTGGGTAAGGTGTGGATGTGCTCGCTGAAATTTAAGTATTTTTATCCAATGCTTGCATCGCTCAAGCGATCGCTATATCATATGTTCACCGCCGGAGCGTCGCTAAGAACAGGATCTAGATAATGTGGAGGTAGCCTATAGTCGGGAAATCTTGAGGCGCCTTTTGGTGAGCAATGTACAAGTCTAGTGAACCATACCGGGGCTTCACACGGCACTTAAACCGCGACAAACGCTGTTGGAGAAGCACGCCGCTGCCTTAGCATCCGTCTCAACCTCCGCCTCTAGCAAGTAGTCATCAATGCATCGCAGCTGGTGGGCATCGCATTCTCTGAAATGGATAGCGGCGTTGTCCACGCATCCCTCAGTTCCTACTCGACTAGTAGAGAAGTCAGTCGGCCAGACACGATGGGCCGAGTTTGGAAGTTCCAAAGCCAGCTGGGGTGCTGACTACGATTTGTGGAGAACTCAAGCTAACACGTTGCAAATCCGGCCGCAGGTGCTCTAGGAGGAAGTGCACTAAGAATCCTAAGAAATATGGCCATCGTCGAAAACAAGACGTTGGAGATAGCGCTGGTTACAGCCCAAGCCGTCATCGCTGGTACCTCGGTTGGCTCGTCGCTGCAAGTGTTACTAGTCAAGTGCAGCCCAGCCGTTTTAGAACGTACTTAACCCACCGGCGACCGTCATCACGATTTTGCTGGGATAAGACAAACCTCGGGGGAAAGTGCCGGTTCAACCCATACAGGTGGTTAGGGTAACTGCGACTCTTCAATGTCCCGCCGACAGCGTTTTGGCCAACGCGATCTGCTTGCGGATTTCTCACCTTGAAAGGTAGATGGGCATGGGTGCCGGGCTTCCGCGCCACCATTGGCCACCGCACAAGCACTTACACCCGCAGATTGCCAGGTGCCCGCGCAGGATTAGCGCTTCTCTACTATGGCAAACTTCTGGATTGATACGATGCACCCCTCACTAATGTTAACTTTCTTTTACCTTGTATCATTGCCTTCTATAGATGCCTTCGCGCGCTCGAGGTACGTTGGTCGAGGAGCTACGAGTACGGCTCTACCGGTGCCACTGCGAACTCCGAGTTGTTCCGATCGAGGCCTGGACGCTCCTGTTCGTGGAAGAGCGCGGCCGCTACTTCGGCAATGTACGTGAGGCGTCAGGGCTACTGGAGATGCTGTGGGCTCGGTAGGTGTGCGAGCTGGACACCATCTTCAACCCCCACAAGGTAAGGCGGCGTTTTGACAGCTTTGGCGTTCATACCTAGGGTGGTGGTGTTGTCGACAACCGTATTACATTCAGGACGAGATGTTCACCGGCTACCCCCGGAAGGAGTTGAGCAAGGAGGCGATCTTGCGCATCTGCACCCACCTAAGCTACGTGCCCCCCACCGCTGGTGAAACCATGCGGGTGCTGACATTTCACCCTAACGCGAGTCGACTCCACAGTGAATGTCCAAGCGCGAAGCCGAAGGCATGACGGTGGAAACAAGCGGCAGGGAGGACGCCAAGAGCACGTCAGGGACAGCGAGGTGTGGCAAGACTTCAAGAACGACAGATACAACGGCAGCTTGAAGCATGGAGTCTTCGTGGTCGGCTGGGGTCTGGTTACGGGGCCCACGATTCCGTACGTCGACTCGAGTAAGCTCGTCCACTACGAACACTTCATCTTGTATTGTGTTCTCTGGACCTGGTATGACAGCTCATGGGGCGACAGGGGCTTCATTACGCTGTCAAACTCAACTGCAGGTCGAAGTTGATTAGAGATGTGATTGATTTTCATGCAATTAATGCATAGTTGTTGGTTTAACCCTCGGTGGCAATGTTAGAGTAGTGATCGTATGTACTGCATCGACCATCTTCGTTCAGCTGCGTACAGGTGTAAATCCCGAAGGGAGCTGGTGTAAGTCATCGGAACCTGAATTGTTTCAGTAACTTCCACCGCTAGCAAAACGAATTTAGGCACGTATTACGATGCCGTAGACACACTCGTGTTGTCAGCACCACCAGACGTAGATGAGGTAGCTTCATGCCCAAAACACGCATTGCCAAAACCACATCTTCTTCGAACACAGTGTCGTGGCAAAATAAAAGGGTGGCGGAGCTGCTAAGGGAGCTGGGTTGAGTCAACTTCGAGTCTGGATCAGCTCTGATAACAGTATCGCTGACTTCACCAATATTGCGGATGTCTGCGGTGACGACGCTGATCTTGAGCAAGTGTGGAAAGCGCGATGCCCTAGACGCAATCGGCTCCATACCTCTAGCGGCCAGGTCACGTTGGATCTCAATACCAACCGCACGAAATACTTGCGTTTGCAGTGAGATTTGAGCGAGAACATTCCCACGCCGGATCCAGCATCCAGAAATTCGTCATTCACTTGAATATTCGCTTCTTCGATCAGCATGGACACCCAGCCATTGTAATCTCCCCGGTATTTAGCTGACGTTCACTCGCGCGCACATCGCCGCACGCCGCTATCTGGAGCCCAGCACCCGCTGCGGTGAGTAGGCAGAATAGTCCCTCAGTGGCGTTGTAGGTTTCTTGCGGTGATAGGGTCGCAATGGTATGTGGTGAAGGTGAACACCGTAGAGGAGACGCGGCTTTGGCTTCCAAATGCAGTCCTGCTCGGTCTGGTGGCGGGCGGAAATAGCGTGGGGGGAAAGCTCGTACACCGCCTCGAGCTGAACGAGTTGGCGATCCTCTTCATCTGAAAAGTCGGCCATTTTTCGCTTCGGCTACTGTCTATACAAACTCAAGTAAAACGACCCTATCGGGGTTCATACTGAAACCGAGTTTGTAAGTCAACGTTGGGTCGCTGTCGTCCGAGTCAATGTGGACTCGTTCAGGGTCGACGTTGACTTCGCTATTACTGAAACTAGTACGTTTGAGTCAATGTCGACATGGTTTAAGTCCATGTTAGCTTCGCGATCAATAAAACAAGCATATTCGAGTCAAAGTTGACTCGCTCTAAGTCATCAGTGACTTGGAAATGTGTATTCATTCATCGTAACGCAGCAGCACACACAACTACGGCAGGATGGCACTCTCAAACGCAGCCAATGCTTCCATAATCTTCGCGCATGCACACGCGTATCTGCCGTGGTCCATCGAGTGAATGACGGTACCTGTCTTGTCGTGGACCAACTGTCTTGTCGTGGACCAACTCATTTCTTTTCTCCCAGAACTCGACCGCAAGCACCTCAAACTCTTCAGCGTCCGCCGTCTTCGATCCAAACGCCTCATTCGTTCAGCTCTCGTCTCGCGATGGTGTCTTGCAATCCGCTGTTCTCAGTTTTCACCGCCTCTAGCGCAGCCTTCATCGATTCCAACTGCGTTATCACTCCATCCCGTTCTGCTCGCATCGCCGCCCTCTCTTCCTCGATCCGGTTGCGGTTGGCTTCGAGCTCTTTAAACGTAGCTGGGCACCCGTCGTTCTTGAACTGCTCATCCAGGAGTCTGTTCATTTCCTGCCTCAGCAATATTCAGCCTCCTTGTTGCTTCTCTCGTTTATTTTCATCCGCGTCCAACTGCTCCCGCTCCCGTTGCAGGCGATGCGTTACGTTCTGAAGACGCCGGCAGTCCTCTTTGAGCTTGGCCTCATGGGATTGCAGCTCCTCGGCAAGTTCTTCCTCCTTGTTCTCCATATTCTTCTCTCACGTAGCCACCTCCTTCTCCCGGTCCACCAGTTTTTTCTTGCGCTCGTCCACCTCTCTCGTGAGGTTGTTCATGTCTTCGTGCACATCCTGGAGTTTCTAAGCATGGCTAGCCTGCGCCTTAAGTAGATTGTCTGCGTGCGTGGTGACGGATTGGTTCGACAAATTCTACTTAGTTTCCACATGGGCAAGTTTGTTGCGCAAGCCACTTGAAATCGCCTTCTCCTTGGCTAGTTGTAAAATCGAATTCTGCAACTCCTTCATCAACGCGATAGTTATATCGTTGTCTGGGAGATCAAAATTCCTGAGTTCGGTCAGCTCGTTTTCAGCGGCTGCTAACTGCTCCTCTAATTTCCTTGAGCGCGTTTGCGCCTCCTCTAGCTGTCCTCCGAACTGCCTCAGAGCTTGCGAAATAGAGAGTTCAAAATCCGCATACTCCCCTCGCAAAGGGTGGGTTTGCAGGTTTGAGCTGGGGCACCTTCCACCTGCACGGCCACGGGTGTCTGCGCTTGGACGGAGATTGGAGGCCCTGGAGCTTGGTCTAGCGCTTGCGATGCTTGGTTTCTGGCTGCGATAAGCTGCTGAGTCGCCTGGATGTCGCATTGCTCGATCGCCAGGTGCTCGCCACGTTGCGATAGCTTCGACGAACCCGATCCAGCGGTCTGCGCGTGTGCGTCTGCTTTCAGGGCTTGGTCCGCTAAGTAAACCGCGTAGAACTCTTTCAGCAGCGCAGGCTCGTGACGATGGAGCTCTTCTGGGTTGTTTTTGAACGCCTTGAATTGAGTCAACTTGCCCAAAGCCTCGTAGTCCAAGTCGTTGCCGCTGTTCCTAGCAGCTGTGTATTTATCCACCCACACACGATTCTGGTAGTCTGACATATTGTAGTAATCACCTGCCTTGCCGGTGCTCGCCCTTTTCGTCTGCGATCTTTTTTTGTAGAGCCAAGCACGTGGACCGGAGCGCGTGCTTGGGTACCAGGGGAATCGTCTCTCCATCGCGAGTCGTCGCCTCGTTCTCCGATGTACCCGCGGCGCCCAACTCGCGCGTCGTCCCCTTTGACCCTTCGCCAGTCTTTTGGTAGTCTTCCTCTGCTTACGAGGGCTTGGCGAAGTGTCTGGTCCCTCCCCCTTCTTCCGCTTCTGCTTGGCATTGCCGGTGGCAGGCGTGGTCTTGGCAGCGTTTGCTGACTTGTCAGTAAGCGCGCTCGTCCGCTTTGTCGCTGGCTTGTCCGTCGCCTTTGCAGCTTTCTTGCCCCTCGTCATGGGCGCCTCGCGAGCAGCACCACCAGTAGTTCCCTCGCTCTCTGCAACTTGAGATCGCTTCGCCATCAGCACTTTGCTGCACTCAAAGTTCTTTGAGAAAGTGAAACCGCAAATCCTACAGTTGAAATAAATGGATGTGGCCCAATTCGATTTGGAATCAAGAGGACTGTAAGTCAACGTTGATTTGGTATAAGTCGTTGTTGAGCTGGCTTCAGTAACAAGTGTCTAAGCCAGCGTAGAGACGTTCCAAGTCGTAGTCGACTTGGTGACTCAATGAGAGATGTACGAGTAGATGCACATGATTGTCTTTACAAAAAGATGCAGAAGTGGTGAGATAAGCGCCAACGCAAGAGTGGATACGTCAAATTAGACATTTACTGAAGCTACCAGTCACCGCTTCAGCATTGCCGGAGCACCTTAGCGATCACGCATAAACTCTTCCAGCGTGATGATGTAGGCGCGCGGCATATTGACGGTGGTCAGCTCGTCATCGATGTGGAGCTCATTGACGGTGTCCACCTCGTTGTCGGGGCGCGGTTCCTCCGGTGCGTTGTGTGTCCAGATGTTGAGGTACTCCACGAAAGTGCGACCAGGGATAGCGTGACCAACACGATTAGTGTTGCTTCCGCTATACCAGGGGGGCATTCGAACGCAGCAACCGCAAGCTTGTCAGAGGGAATGTGCAGATCCTGATAGCGCTCAAAATCATCCATCCGAAGGTTGCAGTTGTCGACGATAACGATATCCACGCCACGGTCGGTGCTGCGCCACAGGAGTTCTCTGCATTGTTCGTAGCAGCTTCGATGCGCCTCCCAAAGCCGACTTGCGTCGAACACATAGGATCCTCCGCGCTGGAAGAAGAGGCCAGCTGAGCAAATCGAGGCGCGGAAATCAACCGTTGCTGCATAACGAACGACCTCTTGAGCAAACGTTGTCGTGCCACTGCCTGGGAGGCCTCTCATGATCACGAAGAGCCGAGGCGGGTACTGCATATACGCGCGGCAGTCCTCTCAATACGCCCGGTAGTCGTCAACGACTTGTGAGCGCAACTGGTCCGGCCAAGATGTCGATGTTGACTATCCCAGATCAATGTTGACTTCTGTTATGTGTGGTCCACACATGGTCGGTGATTTGGTGTGGTCAACATCAGAAGCAGCGGAATCTTAGAGGTTAGACGACATCCGACGTGTGAGAAATGGAGTTCAAAGCCCGCCTGGACGATCTCAGCGGCGTGGGCGACCGTCGGCCAGCATTTCGGTGAGCCCGACCGCAGCGTCACGGCGAGCGTAGCGGTAGCGGGGACAGCGAGAGCATCATGACGAGCATGTCTCGGCCGGCACAGCAAGCGCAGCACGGCGGGCATTGCGGCTGTCAGCACAGCGAGAGCAGCATGACGAGCATGGCGGCGGCCAGAGTAAGGATCAGCAGCATGGCGAGCTTGGTGGCGGCCTTGGCGGCGACGGTCGATGCGGGTCGGGTGACAGCATAGTTGGATAAGCGCGGTTGAGTAGTAGCGGGCGATTTCGGAAATGAGGTTTGGGATTGAGCGCACATAAACGATCTTCTGGCACGGATCGCAGCACGAGCGTGATTGGCCGCGAAATGGCTGGCCAATTACACGTCGCAAATTCAAACGAGGGGGGGGGCGCTGATTGGCGTAGATACCGGAGCAAAAAGCTGTTTCTTCGCAGCCGCGAGCACCTCGTGCTCCCCCTGAGCTTGAGTCTCCTTCCTCCATCGACCTCCGTCGATCCACCGCACACACCATCACCTCCGTCGCGCATCGGCATTCGGGCGCCCCTTTCACGCGCGTCCTGACCAACTCCGCGCCGATCCACCGGGAACACCAGTGCCATACATCTAGGAGCCCACACACCGCAGCGACCGTCGCTGCCAAGGCCGCCGCCAAGCTCGCCATGCTGCTGATCCTTACTCTGGCCGCCGCTATGCTCGCCGTGCTGCTGTCGCCCATGCCGCCGCCATGCCCGCCGTACTGCGCTCGCTGTGCCGGCCGCCTCCATGCTCGTCATGCAGCTCTCACTGTCCCTCCCCGCTACCGCTACGCTCGCCGTGACGCTGTGGCCGGGCTCACCGGAATGCTTCCCGACGTCCGCACTCGCCGCCGCCGCCATGCTCGCTGTTCATCTGTCGCCTACGCCGCTACTATGCTTGCCGCAGCTATGCTCGCCGTGCAGCAGTCACTGCTCCGGGTGCCGCTATGCTTGCCGTCAAGTTTTCTGGTGAGCTTCGATGGCTCGCTGATCTGGAGTTCCAGCGCCTCACGTTGCCTATGTTGACATTCCCCAGCCCAACGGTGAATCCCTCTTCTTTACACGCACGTGGGTGGGTGTGCGGCCGTCATGCCCGCCGTTTCGATTCTCGCGAGCTCGGTCGTGATGCCCGTTGCCATGTCCCGGGTTACGTGCACGGTGAGTGCGACGCCGAGCGTGTATTTATCACTGTGAAAACAATGTTGAGGAGCTCTAGAAGCAGTGTAGGACATCTAGCAGTACCAGTCTCTTTGTTATTGCCAAAGGAATCTGCTAAGCAATTCACCTGCGATGTCAACATTGGCACTTGCAACTCAACATCGAGATATTACTAGTATACGATCGGCTCTGTCGTGCTTCGTATCCGGATGTGTTTAGATTCGAAATTTAATATCAGTATAGTTATATGATCAAGATCAACAATGCCCACGTATCCGGATGCTAGAAGTGCGCCTTTTGCTTCCCCCCACCGTCACTCGTCGAGATGGCACAGAAGCGCCGAGTAGGCAGCGGGCGCGACACCCAGCCGCCCCGAAAGGCGCGAAGAAAAGCAGCGAGGACTGTGAGCTCCGAGGCATCTGGTAAGCAAAACGCATCTTTCACTAGCAAATCGTCGAAGCGATCTTATAGTAGACGTTCATAATGCCGCAGACGACGAGTTTGAAGTCGAGAAGATCATCGAGATGAAGTTTGTGGAGAGCCCAAGTACCATGTGAAGTGGAAGGTTTACGACATCACGTCGTGGGAGCCGGAATCGAGTCTGCATTGGCCTGAGCTCCTCAACAAGTTCAAGGCAGCACAACTTCAAGAGACACGCGCGTTGAAGAAAAAAACAATCCGAAAAGCGGACTTGCCTGATCGAGGTAGCCACGTGACGGCTAAAATCCCTGCAAAACACCAAGAGGGTTCTGAAGGTAACAAGCAGCACGTGTTTGTCACATGTTCTCATGTTGGTTTTCGGGGGAAAAATGTACTAACTGTAATAATGGTGCCCAGGTTCGGAGGAAGTGTACGAAGTGAAAAAAATCTTCGTGAAACTTTTCGTTTTGGCTTGTCTTACTTTGAGGTGAAATGGAAGGGATATTCCCAAACGAGCTGGGAGCCTGCCTCCAATCTGAACTGCCCTGACAAATTGGAGAAATTTAGGCGTCGCCAGAAAGCAGCACGTCAATCTATGCTCGAAACCCCAGCTCCAGCTAAAGTCACCGATGCTACCGGGACGGTAGGCCATCACAGCCCTCGGACAGATACCGATGAGAACAAGAAACCCAGCGGTGGATCTACAGTTTGCCAAGCAAGCAGAGCATCGATTCCAGAAAATAATGGAGTGGGAGTAACCAATGATGCTGACAATGCGGCCACCGAGAGCCGGCAAACCGGTGATCGAACCGAAAATGACTACAAGTACGATTACCCGGATTACTTTCCCGAGACTACCGAGGAAGAGGCGATCTCAAATGGAGGTGGTGGTGTTGAGCCTTGTGGTGCAGGGATTCCAAACAACCTTAATACCGATGGAAGGAATGCGGATGCTATGCCATAGCTTACTTTTTAATTTGGTTTATTTTTAAAAATTGATGGAATGTTATTTATAATATTCCATCAATTTTCCAGTACCGCGAGCAGACTCCAGAGGGTCAGGCAAGGCTCGCAGAAAAGAAAATCGCCGCGGCAGACAGCAGAAACAACCGCAACACCCTCGCAATATCGACGTACTCTTTCGTCTCCCAGGAGTAGAGTATCTGGGAAGAAATCGAAAAGACGTGCGGAGATGCTTGCTGATGAAGTGAACGTGCGTATTGATGACGATCAGCTTTTGCTTACTTTTTCGACAATTCTGTGCTTAGTTTCAAGTAAAAATGGTGCAACATCAGGAACTTTGCAATTGTCGGTCTCTCCCCACAGGTATGCATTAAATTGACCGATGCATCGTGCTAACAGCTGATGACAGCCCATTCTTCCGACTGGTGTACTGGTTGACAAATAGACTTTTCTTCACTATACTATATCCGCAGGGACGCTGTCCTGTTTGAAAAAAAAAAACAAGACAGCGCATCCATTCTCTTCTTCGCTTCTGACCGAATAATAAACTATCTGTATTGTAGAATGAAGCATACTATAGCTACGAATAGTACTGTAGCCATAAGGGCAATGCCAGCGAAGCCCACCCAGCGGGGTCCAGCTAGCGCGGCTCAACCAACGGCGCTACCCAACAGCGTAATGACTGGTACTCGAGTCAGCTTGTGCGCGTTCAGCTAGCTAGCATTTGAACTCGACATACGTGCAATATAATCCGTTAAAATGTGTTCAGCATATCACATTTCCTCGGCATTGAAGTCTTTCCTATGTTTCTTTCCAGGCCATACCTAGTCCTGTCATGGGCAGGTAGCACACTGCTAGCCCGGCATACATTTCCCTATATTATTCGGCCGGCAATCGGCGGTATCGGCCAGCGCTCGCGTGTGTTAGTAGTAAGTAGTTGTGTAGCATACATAATTAAGGTAGCAGTCAGTAAAGTAAACGGTATTTAGAAGTAAGCGAAGTAGCGCTTAAAGTATGTGAAACTAGCAAAGTAACTCAATAAATGAAATAATAAATGGACTCGAGGGGGAGCAATTGCACCCCAGGGGTACAAAAAATCGGCCTGTATAATACAGGGTTTAGTATGGGGGAAAGAAAGAAAATTAGGGGGGGCTAAAGTACCTTCTGGAGTACAAATCCGAAAGTACGTGTACTGGACACAGTCCTTACGAACTGTGAACTGTTTGAAGAAAATCGCACCGCAAGTGTGTCGAATACTGTAAATCTCGAAGCTGGTTTTACAGTTTATATTCTTGGTAGCCCGGCACATCACTAAGTTCGATTGGCTGTTTATGACCCAGTTGGGCTAGCTGCGGACGGGAGGTCCACAAGGCCATGGATTCGAAGATCATTAGCTCGTTCCTGAAACTTGCTGTTCAACTAGATAAGGTTCGTTAATAGAATCAAACCATACATATATTATGAGGCCGTTATCTTCTAGTTGTCCAGCACCAGGAACAGCAGTAGATAGACAAAAGCGACCCTCATGGTCGCACGGGTCGGTTGAAGTCACGGCTGCTTACACTCGTAAACCCCTTCACGATCGGACCGAGCTATACTTCCGCCCATCCTTCGATGCCGAAGTGCGCGATGAGCGATCAATTCTCCGATGTTGTACCTAGTAACCCGTTTCTCAAGTGATAAAAAAACGCATAAACATAAGTGACTACTTACCGTGCTCAATCGGCTCAGGTTCTTCGTGTTCATAATATCCACTGGACAAACACAATCGCCTAGCCACTGGTTGCGTGTGCTCATGAACACGGCACTTTGGAGAATGGTAACTGGAGTAACCCGCCCCCCCCCGGGCCAAGCATCATGGAGCGTCATCGTGGGCCCTCGCCACAGAGAAGCGTGCAGAGGGTCGTGAGCAAGCAACGGTACAGCGAGCAGCATGAACAAGAGCCCCTTGTGCTGGAGCAAGTTGATTTCGTTTGTTTGACTAAATACATATAACTTTCAAAATTACTTGCTCACGAGCAGAGCAGCTCGTGCGATACCAACTTTCTAATATACATGGTAAACCAATTACCTGGGAACGTCCTTAAATGGTCCATCACTGCAAAAAGCAATGGTTTGTGCCAACCCTTGGATTTCGCAGTGACGAAAATTCAAGGACGCTTTTAGGTAATTGGTTTACAAAAGTCTGTTAGAATGTGGACGTTCTGGCTGTCCGATATCAGCAGGCGGCATCCGTCTATATGGCTTATAAAATTGATAATATAAGTATATTTAATATATTCGCCTTTGCCCTGTTGTAACGATGCATATGCGTCGTCAATGGAGCTCTACCAAAACCCACACAATCTCGATATTTGCTACGGTCATAAACGTGGCGTATTTCTCGTAGCAAATCCGTCGTAATTTGTGGAGACGTCAAATTCGTCTCCACCAATTGCGTCGAGCGCAAATGAAACGTACCATTATGTTGGTACAATTCCCAATCACCACTCGTGCTGTGCGTTCACGCCCGCGCTCTCAAGCTCTACGTCAGCACGCCAAAACCGTGGACAGCAGAGCCAGCGGAATAGGCTGAGCGTTTACTACCACCCAAGTTGATTGTACGTGCACCTTGCGCATTGTTTGCTACTGCTGTCTAATGAGCTGACTGACCGCACCGCGGCATGGTCACTAGCCAACATGTACAAAAGGGAGCGTAGCCATGCATTTAGCACTCAAATGTGATGGTTTTGGTCGGTATCATCGGTTGTAGCAAACACGACGCAAACGGGGACATATTTGTCACATAAAGTGCGATTGTGACATCGTTTGTGTTAGTTCTGGAAGAATTCCAATCGCTGCTGCATGTTCCTACTGGAGAGCTCAACCTGACGAAGACCATCACTTTAGGTTTTGCGAAGCAGATGCGTTGCAAAGGCTTGAAGTGCATTTTCTTCGTGTTACCAGGTACGCCCATCTTGTCCCCAGAGGCGTGTATGCCAGCAAATTTGTTCTTGATCTCCAACCATGTGCCAATGGTCTGCTAGTCATCAAGCGAGAGGTGGATATTTTATTATTGTTTCACTATCGCTCATGTCCGTCCAAACCTGTTTACATTGCATTCAAGATTTCGAGTTTGGACTCAAAAATGACACCCCACTTTACTATAGTAAACCTAAGTCTATTTATAACTCAAACTACAAAATCAGCGAAACATCGCACGAGCTGTCTCGTTTTGCCCCGAACAGGACAGCTCCCATTCCCGACATCAACCCACATGCCGGCGTTCGTGAATTTGCCTCGCATAGATATCAGGCGATGGCTGCGAGCAGCAGCTCGGGGATGCAGGTGCGTGGTGCTGGTGATGCATGCGGTGCTTCTGGAGGTACTAGCTATGGGGTTTATTTCGTGCCTACAGCTTACCTGGCGGCGGACCGCACAGCCGCAGTGGCGGCGAGTAGCAGCGCGGAAAGGCAGGTTGGTGGCGTACGGGGTGGATGTTCAGGTGCTTTTGGTACTAACCATGGGGTTTATATGCGTGACTAAGGTGGCTGCCAATACCGTGTATGGTCATTAGTAAAGCGTCGATGCATATGCATCGTCTATGTGGTTAGTGCATGGCGAAAGCTAGTTCTTACTAAATACATGACATTTGTTTCCCTTCTCTTTACTTGTCACATCAATGGAGGCTTGCTGTGATTTACTGGCCTTCTCGGGTAGCAATCACATGATTTGAAAGGCTGGTCTGAGCAAACAAGCCTTTGCTCCGCATCGCCCAAACTTGCTTGCTTAGCCGACCAGAAGTGGGCATGGTGTGACCTTTGACGTCAAGCTCGGTGTGGATGAGGAAACTCTTTATTAGTTAAAACCCTGTTGCCTGGACAACTTTGGATAGTTTAGCCAGCCGTCAATTTCCCAATGATTAGGCTGTTGTAGAGGTCCTTTTGCATAAACTTAATCAAGTAACGTATCGGATTTCATATCAACTTTCAAAGGCTACAGAGGGTGATTTTTTATTTAATAATGCACCACATGATGCATGTCGCATGCGACATGCCAGAAAGGTCGTGGCTTTGCTAAAGGGCGCCTGGTGAGTGCTCTTATAAAAGGAAGTATACTGTTGTATACCATAATTTTGTCAAGGAGATTCGCGAAAGGTTGGTGTGATGTCGATCAACCTGTTAATTGGGACTGTGATACGTGTACGGATAGGAAGTGATCGATTGAGTGACCTAAATAAGCACCCGAAAATATAGATTAGTAAACACCTAACAAAACTATTGCTACGACGATCGGCTCGCCAAGAAGTGTTTAGAAATTATGTAAAACGATACTACTAATCACCATTCAATACAGACAACCACATCGAATGGTAGATCGCGACTAATTCCTAGCACTATGCTGCGAATGTAAGTGTGAATGGGGCCTGGAACTTGCAATAGCGAGGTCAATATTCAGAAATGCAAGCAGCGTTCTTGACCTGCTTAAGTACAGAGGTAAAGGTGCGTTCATTGCTTACTACGATGAACCAACAGCAACCTATAATGCAACTGCACGCAAGGTCGGGCGCTAAACAGCAAGCGCACCATTGTGAAACTGTCCCTTAGAGTTTGCAAAAATCAGTGCGCGATCTTTACTGAGGTACCCCTGATCTACTACAAGACCCAGCGCGGGAGCACCAAGATGGAGAAAAATGCTTCTTTCGTCGACACTGCCTACTGCGAAGGTGTCAGGAGCACTTCGCTGGCAAGCCTGTCATAATTGTACATGACAATGCCCCAGCCCGCAGTCAGACCGAGGAGCTGGTGCGTGAGTGTGATGACATTGTGCTCTTCCGATCCACGCATTGCCCGATGTATGGAAGATGCCATCAGCACATATGTTGCTATTATATGCTTTCCTCCAATGCCAGCACGGTAAATTGCTCTTACATGTTGGTTCAGGGCCCTGAAAGCAGCGGCTAAGCGCTATATGGCGCTTAGTCAAGGCGTCATGCTCAATGCTCTCCGCAGCCAGATGCCGGAGCTGCCCGTGCAGGTGCTGGGGCTGGCAGCAAAGAGCTGCATGAACTGCATGAGCCTTCGTCTTGTGAACAAGATGACACTTCACTGCACTCAGACAGTCGCCGTCAATGCAATGTTCCGTCCATGAACGGAGAGGTGTCGGTGTACTCCAGCAGGCGAATCAGTGCCGATCGTCCGTGCCCCTCTTCAGACCTTTGTCGGGTATGTCGACGATATGCACGGAATACATGATACTGGGTTTTCTTCTCAGATAGTTGCTGAAGATGAAGCTGCTGTAATCCTTTTGCCAACGAAAATTTATATTAAAAATGGACGACACGATTTTGTTTTACTATACATTGTGATTTGGTACCAAAGCAAATCGGTGCAACTGTAACGGGTTCTACCGCTGCTCGAAGTGCTGTCGTTGCGCAGGTCCACCATGGATGCAAATTACTGCAACAGCTGATGGCCACAGCGAAGTAGTCGGACGTAGTCCGTTTATTTTTTTCAATATGTACGCTCTCGTTCTTCTGTTGGCGCTCGTTCGCCTCGTTCTTCTGCTTCAACTTGCTCGCCTCTTTCGCCTCGTTTGCTGCGTCTCAATTGGGTGCCGTCCGTAGCCCGCTCGCATGCTACTGGTCTGCTGGTCGGCGCCGACACACTGGTCATCGCCCGACTCGCCCCGCCCTTGTGGGTGCCGGTCTATTGGGAGCCTTGGAGCAGAGCCCTTGCCTGGCCCATCTCCCTCGTCTCCTGTTCGCTCACTGTCTGCTGTCGTCCGCTGACCGCGCTACCGACCTGCAAGCGTCTCGAGGCACTCGACTGGCGCTTCACTCCGCAAATTCTTGAGTGCGAGGCCCCGAGCGCTGGCCACCTCGTGTCCCCAGCCACTTAGAGCCCTGTGCCTCTTCGTTTCTCGGCTTGCGCCGGCTTGTACTTCCTTTGGCGTGTGTTGACACCTAAGCTCGCGAACGTACTGTGCTCGCACGTCGCCGCCGCACGCTCCAGTGACCGCCCGTTCATCGAGACCTTCGCCCAGCGCACTGACACTGCTGCCGTAGGTGTAGCCATCTGCATGAGGTACACTGTACGTGTTACATAACGGAAGAGCTGTTTACCGTACTGCATGCCCTCCATGCAATCTACAGCATCCCCAGCGCGCTGATAGTGAAAGGTCATCTTGTTCGCCAGACCCAGGTCGATGCAGGTGTTCGCACGTCTGTTAGCTAGTTCCAGAATTTCCACTCAAGCTGCCATAAGTTGGCCACGCGGGCGAGCTGCAACAATCTCCTCTAGCGAAGCCGCAAGGTCCGCCAATGAAATGTAGGTAGAGCATGCCTTTATCTTCGCGTAGACCTCGTCAACGAAGGCGGCATTATCGGCCATCTGAATGTAGCCGCGCTCGAACCACCGGTGAACCAAACCTATCTCCGTAGAGCTGGCGCACTGGATCTGGAGGTTAACAAGATGAGAGGACCACGGTGGCACGCTTGCCCTTTTCCACCTTTTTTGTACACGTTGCAGTTTGTCTCGTTGTTATAGATGATGAAGTCGCCAGCACGCAAATGCTTGCGCAGCTCCTAGGCAAAAGTTTTGCACCGAGCCTTGTTCACGGTATTGTTGCACGTCTTGGCTCCACGCGAACATAGGGTGTAAGCCAAACCATACATAATTTAGTTTAGTAATAGAATAATATACAACAACATACTGCAAAGTACCTTACCTGTTTACTAGTGAAGAGTTTTCCAGTTAGCTTATCGCTGATCGTAGACGTGCTCAGGTTCACGCAAAGTCCAGTCAGACCACCTGTTGCAGCTGAACGAGTATACGTGCAGTTAAGCTAGACGCCAACCGCCAGTTTGAGTTGTAGAAAGCCGCTTTTGTTTGCATATTGTTTCTGAACTAAATTGTTGCTAAATAACATTATTTTAGCGCTACTTCACATATTAACGTTGGGACTAAGTCGATATTAATATTAGTACAACTATTGTTAATAGTAGTGACAATGACGTTGTAAACGAAATTCTATGCCAAACCTGGAACCACGGAGGCTACAAAGACCATAAAATGTTGGCATAACCCTGATTTATATTGTAAGTGGCTCACGCGTTAGTGTTTGTTCGTATGTACATACCAAAAGTTCGAGCTGGCTAAAGCTTTCCTTACAAATATTGAGGGTATCAAAAGGTTCGTACACATAAAAAGTGCTCACTAACATATTTATGTTAGGAAGAATTTTTGTACGCAATAAAATGAACCATTAATTTTTTATAGTTGCTAATCGGTAGCACATACTTTCACGTGTATGGACGTAATGTTTCATTATCATAAATACAATGGACGAAAAACATTCATACACGCAATAACAGACTTTCTAGCTGAAAATATGTATAACGAATATGCAGCAACAATATAATAAACAATAATATATAGATGTTTAACAACACTGAAGTAACATGCTAATATATATTGATGAATTGACTCCGCATTTTAAAAATAGCTTCAAAATGCATGTTTATAATAAAGTAATATATATATATATATATATAAAGGCTACGTCGTAAACCTTACTTACTTATAATAACTGCTTGAATCCTCGTCGCTTTTCGACACTTTCGAATCTGATAATTCGAGTGCTGCGCCATCAAAGAAGGCGCCACACCGGGCGGGGTAGCGTCGGTAGTACGCGCCGGTAATGATAGGCGGCGGTGCGGCATATGCTCCGTGACCATTCCATTCTCTAAGATGTGCGCGCGGGGACACGAGCATTGTCATTATACGTCGCGATGTGTGAGAGGATGCAGTATGCGTAGCAGCATCACAGCTGACTGATCACTGCATGCAGGCAGCCCGGACATCCCGGTAGCCGAACATCAAAATGAACCTGAACGCTGCGTTAGTGGAGACACTGTACACGGAGATCAAGGAGGAGGACGTCAACAAGAACGATTTCAACACAATCGTGATCGGCAAAGTGCCAGCGCATGTCCAGGCAGAAGTGGTGGTGCTAGCTGATGACGACCCGTCCTACTGCCTTGAGCGACCTGCTTCAGCGCGCTCAAGACACACATCAAGCACTAGTTCGCGACGAGATGAACCACCCACACACGCAAGCTTTAGCTCTAAAATCTCAAAACCCTAATCTGACATGCGGCTGTTCGAGCGTGCTCTGCATCTGAACATGCCGTGCATCACCCATGGTTCAGAGAACAGGGCTTTACACAGCGAGCGTTTTCGATGCTGTGATCTGCTTGGAGGACATGAAGTATGGCGAGAAGGGTTTTGGTACACTGCACCACTTCACATTGAGTGACGGTTAGACAGCTTTGCCGATCAAGTTATGTTCAATACAGATCGGCCTTACCATACAAGATAAGTACTATAGTTTTTGTCGTGCACTGAACATAGGTGGGGACGTGGTGTGGTGATATACCCCAACCTGGGAGGGGTTACTTGTCCAAGGCGCTGACTTTGCAACACACCGCTTCCAAACACAGTCAAGCAGCGCGTGGCTTAGTCAGCGCCTGGGCAAGGTGCCAAACTGCACGTTTGACATCTGGTTTTGTGCCAAATCGCCTTAGATGTCAAATATAACACCGGGTTGGTGTGAAAACAAATACTGGTAAATCAATATTTGCCTAGGAAGTTGCGCATGCCGCGTGCAAGTAGTGCTCGTATTCCTGCAGGAGGAATCCGTACCAACGGACATGCACTCATCACTGACTAATGTTGTTGCTGTGTGGTTTGACTTAAGTAAAGTCATCCGCTATTATATAACTACCGCAAAAATTGTACCGAACACTGATGCCTCCGCCTAGGTAACGTGTTACTCATTTTTCACCCCGAACCCCCCCCCCCCCAACGCGCCCCATTTGTTTTCAATGGAAGCAAGCACTATGTTAAAACACGGGGTGGGGTATCTTGATGAGGCAGCTGTCTGGTTTTAAGCCAAAGTAGCGACGCAAGTCGGCGTGCTCTTCCTTACAGAAGTGACCCGTGATCAGGCGGTTGCGACGAGATGAAAACCAAGCTCCCTCAGACTGTTACGGTGTGCGCGGTGATACAGTGTGTCTTATTTGTAGCTTCGGGCATTTGTGCTGTGTTTCGAAGATAGGAGGCGCTTTTTAAGACACGCACGCTTTGGGAAGGGGGGGGGGGGGAATCGCAGCGGCGAATGGACGCTTGTTGGCGAACCGATTGTCGGATGGATATACAATATACATTATGGTACCTAGCTGTTAAGGGTTCATCCATCGGTAGCGTAAATTTGATGATTTAACCCTCTGTCTTGTTATTATATAACCAACAATCCATACATACACTTGCAGCTTTAGGAACAACACATTGATTCTATCGCATGCCCCCCCCACTGATAAAAGTATCCAATGGCTTGCAGGGTGGCAACTTTTAAACGATCTTGACTAGATAGACCTTGGCCAACCACGACTAGATAGACCTTGGCCAACCACGCAGCACCTTTAGGCCATCGAGGTTTAAAGAAAGTAAAATCCATGCCAAACGTAGCCATTTCAAACGGAAATGCATCAACAAGCTCATAGCAGGAATGAAAAAAAGCCATCGTCTTCTTGCAGAGAAACAAATACTTCTCCGGCCCTCTTCAGAATGACAGTTTCAGCAATATCTTTGAAGCTACACCTCATCTATAAGAACTGAGCACCCCGTTGAATAGCCCTCAGTGGCGCGCAGAGGTGAGTATTTTTCATATTTTCCTAGCAGCATAATCTAGAGAGCAAGCCCTGCTCTTAGGCGCCTCTTTCCAAAGGTCATTAGGTTTTTATCACCGTTCAGTCAATTTTTAGCGATATTACACCGGAGTTTTAGGTCACGCAGACCGAGACGTTAGTAATTGCGGAGCCAAGCCATTGACAGTAGAACAAAGCAGGGATGCTTCCAGTTGTGTAACCGCACGTTAATTTGACCAATCCGCGTGGACCAACTAATTAAGTACAGAATTAGGAAAAATGTAAGGATGGAATTGAGATTAAGCGCACAGCTGCATGTATCCGGCCATCACCGCATCCGTTGCGACCACTATCGACATGGGCATTCGCCCTCCGACTGCTACATGCTTACCCACTCGCTGCAGTCTGAAGTCGTTTCCCCCACCCCTCCGCAGAATCGCCC